CTAATACAAAATTTCAAAATTCCGCCTTTTATGCCAATCATCACACTAACGCCTTCACTCTTACTTTATCCTTAACAGAAGGACGAGCGGGCATTGCCTGGGGACCTTCTAGCTATAAGATGCTCTTTCTCCCCCCCCAGATATCGAAGTGTCTCTCACTTCTCCCCCACCAATTTCCTCTCTCTCTCTTAGCTTTTCTTATCTGCGTCGAATGTTAAGGTCGTGACGCATTAGACGGGAAGCGACCGTGACACTCGTGGATCAACTGAGAAAGAACGTGATGCATCCAGTTTCCAGAAGCCCCCCCCACCTAAAGCCCACGAATCGCCTCACGGCTACGTTGTGTAGGATGATATTAAAGTGAATCTCAAAGAAATGTTTCGAAGATGTGAATTACTGATGTTGGCAGTAATTGACCTTTGTGTTCTGCAATTATGGAGTTGGCACAGTGTTTAGTCATGAAAATGAATGATGAATCACCGAATTATTGAAGGAATGTCACAATACATTCCTGTAATAAATGGGATTAAGATAAGATATGACTTAAGGAGGTTGAATTTTTTGCGAGTAATTGTTTCATGCTGAAAGAAACTTGTGATAGCAAAATCCAACATTTTCAGTAGACATGAATGCGAACCTCGTTTAATCTCGTAGTTCGAAAAATCCCCGGTCATTTGTTCTCCATTTTCTGATTCTTAATTATCCTTTTCTGTGATGATTTTTCGTATAAAAATAAAGCCTTCTTTAAAACTTTGTACACATAAATCACAGCTTTAGTTGTCAAACCATGGCTGAATGTTTACTAAAACCCGCGCCATAAACGATGATATTAGAAACCATAGAAAAAAAGCCGACGTTTCAGAGATACATAATCTTGTTTATAGCATGGGAAATTTTTCAGATACTGAATGTCTTAGTCCATTCCTTTTCCCCTCGGATCTTCCAGATAATTTCCATTCTTGGCACCATGCAGAGCGTCATTTTCCGAAGGGAACATTTTCTATTTAAATCCCAACCTAAGCAAAAGAAAATCCCCGCGTAGGACACATTTTAAGTAGGATCTGAGGTTCTCACGGCCGAGTCCGAAGATGGCTGTCTTCTGGATGGTAACCCCTTGTAGTCTGGTACAAGTTTACGGACGTTTCAGAGGTGCTTGCTGCCTACATAATCAGGGTGATCATCTCCCTGATGATGGAGGCAGCAAGTAACTCTAAAACGATGATAAACTTCTACCTTACTACATGGTGCTACAACCCAGAAGACAATAATGGTAAAAGTTGGCTCCTCAGAAATACTTGCCATTCCTTTGAAAGTCACCTACATGTAAATATTTCAACAAAATCAGTGCTAAACCCTCTTAATCAAATGAAATGGATTAGTGTAAAGTAAATCATAAATAACTCCTGTCAACTGTAGTATGTATACGAGGTGCGATCGGAAAGTTTC